CCCCAAAACCCCAAAACCCCAAATGTCTAAAATTTCTAGAGATAGGTTGGCAGATCATATGAAAATTTACAAATATGCAGATTAATTCTGATTGTAGGTCTTCTTTATAATTCGGTTTAATTAGGAATATTAATTTTTTTTACTTAACACACACCCAGTCAATTAAATTAATGGCAAGTCAATCAATAAAGAGGCCTTATTTCCTCATGCCTGAATATCCCTTTCACGACTCAGCGATAAACCTGAGTAAAATTTACAAGATGAGAGATCCTACCATTTCTGATATAATGGACGAGACCTTCGACAAAGAGATGACTGCCTTTTCTTGAAAGAAGTTACTATCGTAGCAAGAAAGCAAAAAGGTTTAATTCATCCGCAAGTCTACACTCTTGAATTCATAGAGGGAGCTAGCTAGCATGAGGTTTGAGTAGATTGAAGATAGAGTCAAGCAGAGGTACATCGACGAGTAAAAACTTCAAATTAATAAGCTCAAGATCCTAGAGATGAACTCAAAGACCAAAATACTAGAGCCATAATCAGTTTAACGAGATAAAATAAAGGGTAAATTTCAATTATGCTTGAGAGAAGATCTAAGTATGAGACTGAAGGTAGCTGCATTCGCCTAAGAACCACTGAGCTTCCACATACATAAAAACAGGTAGATGTTTCCAAAGCTCTAGGCTCAGGAGAGATCTTTTAATGAAAAACTTAGAGAGCAAATGAAAGAGTTAGGCATGCCTGAGGAGCAATACACGATAAGGAATGGAAAAATTACTTATAAGGGGAAAAAATCGCTATTTTAATTTAGAAAAAGGACTGATCTCTTGAATTTAGAGTAGAACAACAACACTATGAACAACAATAAGTCAATAGAATTTTTTACTCCTAGAGTAATAGACAATCCTTAAAAACAGAGTTCAACCATGTAGCAAATATCTGAGGAGATCCATAATATCAAGTAGAATTTGAATTCAGTTAGTTCAAACTTTGATAGCTTTGATGTCTCCCCCTCACCTAGAAACCAATAGTCTTAAAGAAATCTTAGAAATTTTAAGATTAAATTCAATAATGATAATTCTATATCTCCAACAAGATCATCTTTGTGTATGCCTCGATAATCAGATTCTACCAGGTTTATCACTCAAAACAGGACAACATTCATTAATAAATCCCAAAGATCTGCGAGAAATGCTCATCTCAGGCACAGCTATGACAACTAAATATCCAGGCTAATGAATCAAAGTAAAGCTTGCCTTGATAATGGCTAAGATGTGATGAAAAGGTTCAATGACACAACCAAGGATATCTCTGGTAAGATAGACAGAGTATTCTAGATATCGGGGTTCTTTCAAGAGATTGATAGTTCTGATGTCAAGTCTATAAAGCGACTTTACGATTATAAAAAAACTCAGATAAAAGAGGAATAGGAAGAGGCGGATAAATGTATATTTTCATATAAAACAGGAGAAAATGACTATAGTCGGATGAATGCCAAAATTATCAATAGGACGTTCAAGAAAGTTAAGCCTAAAATTAGCAAAGATAAATAAGGCGATGATGGTAAGAAGAAAAATGAGCAAGGGCAAGGTTAGGAATAGTAGTAGCAAGTAAGTAAATGAAAAAGAAGATTAAATTGTGGAATTAGAGAATTTCAATTATACTATGATATTAAGAAATGTTTTTGTATTAGTTGTTAGTTATATATTTACACTCTTATGAAATAAAGTTTAAAAACCTTCAGTAAATAAATTATCAATTCTCATTCTTCATCAAGAATAATATCATAGAATTAATTATTCTAACTCCTCATAACCCATTAGTTTTTGCTATTCTTTCAAACCCAACTCTGTAAGTTTTATGAACCTTTTCATTGTAGGTAGATATTGGCAATCCCAAGTCATAATCATTCCACCCAACCTCCTTCCTTTTGATCTTTCTAGATTTAGCCTTTTCAGATCTTAAGTTTGGAATGAAACTTAACTCCTATAATAAATATATTAGTCTAATAAAGACTTCTTACATTGTAAATATCAACAGATCTGAGTCTAAATTCTTTGGGGAATGATTTGATTTCAGATAGCTAGGATGTTTCAAGAGTACACTTCTTAATATTCTTAGCTTATCTGATACTCCTCAATGGGGTAATGGGATGATAAACTATTCTCTCAGGCACTTTCTCTGAACTAATATGTATTTTATTTTGAGCTGATAATCTTACTATAGATATCCATTTCTATTGAGCCTTATAGGTCTATCATAAAACTCTTTGAAATTAGAATGGACTTGTGTATTATTCTTAGAAGCCATCACACTAAAATCACTTTTCCACTTGATCTCATTTTTATAGTGTTTAATCCCACAGGCTGAAGTGTACAATGGCATTCTACTCTCTTGAGTCACCCTATATTTAGATTATTAGTTATATCTGAACTTACTTCTCAAACTCCTTATCGAAGGAGTTATTCGTCAATTTAATGATATTTATAGCAAGTCTCTCATCTTTCTTGCCTGGAGGTTTGTCAAAGAACTCTTTGTAGTGGGGATGAAAGGCATGGTTATCTTTACTATGAGTCACATGAAAGTTATGATCCCACTCTCGATCGTAATTCTTCTGCATTTATCTACGCAATCGCTAAACTAATGACTTAGGTTTAGAGGTGGTTCTTGGCCTTTTTTTTTACTATTTATAATCATTATCCTCATCAATACCCTCCATATTTCTGTTCAATTCTTCTGGATTCAATGTATTCTGCTTCTGATTATACTGAGAGTGTATCTGCTGCTATTAGCTCTCTTCTTGAGAAGCCATCATTCTGTCTGCAGAACTCCCAAGAACATGCATAGATCCCATATTGATTTAATGTGATATCAAAGTTGGTGACTGCGGAATGTCTCTCTAGGGGTGCTATTGAGAAAGATAAGCAGCATTTTTATTTGTATCTTATAAGCCTTCTCCATTGAGGCTAGATCCTGGTTAATTAGCGATTAAGCTCATATTCTGTTGGGGAGTGAAAGAATTCTGCTGATATTGATTATTTTCCATTGACCGCCTTACTTTATTTAAACAGAGAATATTTTAATTAAGATTTTATTTTGATATTCCATTTACACCAATCAAATTATTTAGAGGGGGTTTTGGGGTTTTGGGGAGATCGG